AGTGTGCGCACCCACGCACGTGTTCACCACACACAAAAAACAATGGTTAAAGAACAAGAGGTCATGAGTCTCAGGAATGTCAGTGATATGGGAGGAGCTGGAGAAAGGGTGTATGGAAATAATCTGACCATGGGGCTCATGAAAGAAATTCTCAAAAAAAATTGAAAAGTTACATCTTTTTAAAAGCATATAGTTAGTGTTTTAGGAGCCAAACAGTACATGTATTAAAATATAAAGTTAGAGGAAGTTAGAAAGTTACAATCTACATTTTAAAAATATCTTCAATATTCAAAGATATACGGTATATTGAATTTAAGAAAATAGTTACTCAAAATATTCATTCAAAGATGACAACATTCTCAAAAATGAACTGCATTAAAACATTAAAATCAATCCTTTTGTTCTCAAGATAAGGTTAGTGCCTTGTAAAGGCCAAATAAACACTGAAGTTCACAGATTATTTTGTTCCAGCCATCCCCCTTAATTCTAGGAAGTATCATTATTATTTATTGTTACCTTGGTCTTCCAGGAATGGAGTCCAGAGCCTCATGCATGATACGCAATTCTACTAGTGAGCTGCAAACCTTGCCACTTAGCTCAACCATAGTCCTGGGGAAGAGGGTTCTATTGTCAATCCCCATTTTTCCTGGTAGGAAAGGGATCAAGTGGCCATCTCAGAGTCCCAGGAACTGCATGCAGCTGACATGTCTGTTTTGAGTTTAGTCCTATGGTCTCCCCCATCATATTATGGTGCAAACTTGCCAAAATCTTAGCAGAGATTTGGGATCAATAACAGAATTCAAATGTTAACAACCTGACATTTTTCAATCTCCCCTGGAAAAGTCAAAAGAATGACTGCAATTAACACACTGCATCATTATATCAAGTAGAAATATAACCATCTTCAGACTGGAAGGTTTTAAAGAACAGGGGAATATATCTGAGATTTGAATCTCTGTGTGCACTGTTATATGTGGGTAGACAGCAAATCTTCATTATACTGAGATGCAAAATGAAACACTGAATTCACATCAAAAAGACAGTTTTCTTCACTAGCCAAAGAAACAATCCAGAATGGAGAAAGCCCCTCTCTTTCCTAAACGCTGACATGCACACTGGCTTCCATCACATCTCCCTGCAGATTCCTTCCTAGAATTAAATCTTGAGTGTGGAACCTACAGATTTTCAGAGACTTGGTACAGGGAGACACTGTCCCCCATGATGCAGACCCAGGTGCAGAATAAACTAATATTTTCCTAATGTATTCCCCCTTTTAATAATAAGGGGGGAAGTTATAATCACTTTTTAAATAAGTTTTTCCCCACTTGGATAAACACAGTTCATGAGTGGGGATCTCTCTGGTCCAAAGGATAGTGTTCAAGCCTGTTAATGACTGACCCCCATAGTTTGCTAATCACACCCCCATCTTGCTTTAGTGGATTAATATTGGTACTTGGCTCACTTATAAGGACTATTTATTATCATTTTTTCAAATTAACAGTTTATTGGCATTCAGCATAACTTCTTCTGGGGAAGGATTTTCATACACCACTAATTAAACTAAGTAATTCATCTGTTCCAAAGTTGTAAGAATTGAGATTGTGAAACTAACAATTTTTGCTTCAAAATGGCTATATACCAATGTACAAAGTTTCTATATAATGTGATGAAATAATTATTGTAATTAGCATCTTAATTTGAATTTAGATGCAATTTTTTTCTTTTTAGAAATCTAAATTAATTCCCTGGGAAACTGATGAGAATTTTTCAAAGTAGAAATAAATGTCTGTAATAAATCAAGAGATAAGGGAACAGGAAGAGATTATCCTGCAATTAAAGTTTACGAAATTAATTCCACTTAAACTCCTCAGAGTTTAATGTGAAAAAACTAAGAAGTGTGTATCTTCTTAGATTAAAAAACCATACACTGAAAATTTAAAGGCAAAGAAGAAAAAAGAGACACATAATCAATATTTCCCTAAGCACTAATCAGAAAATAAACGTTAATATTCCTCTCACAGTTTGATATTAAAAATATAAATAAAAGACACCAAAGTTGAGTAAATTAAATGGAAGTGTGGACAGGTGATTGGAAGTTGAGCGTATTTGTTTTACCCAAATGAATGTAAATTTCATTAGTTGATAATTAAAAGGAAATTATATAGACATTACAATTACTGCCAATGGCATAAATTATGAAGCTGGATGGCAAAACAATTTAGGAACTCATGTTGCTGTTACTATTGTCAAACTGGTTACCAGAGAAACCTACGATAAGTAATCTACTCCGTGACTATGGAAATGAGGCCTTGATGTGTTGCTAGGCTGTTAAAGCTAATGTCATTCTATAAAACAATAATGTTAAACATTATTAGTTTTTTAATTATGTCAGTTAATTGGAATTGTCCCTGTTAATTGCCTATGATTCATCTCCAGATGAAAAATACTCAAGAAAGAGTTTGGGCTTTGTCTGTCCCAGAGTGCCATCTCAAGTAAGGTCTGACTTTCACACAACTGGGTTTGATTAGTGCAGCTAGCCTGGGCAACAATAGGAGGCCTGGTCAAATTCACCTGCAACCAAAGGCACTGTGTTGGCATGAGTGCTCAGGATGCCCTCAGCAGAGATCCAGCTCTTTATGAGTCTGAACTCAAAACTTTCATCCTGACCTTCAGATATTGGTTTTCAACCAGATTTTCACCAAAATCCCAGGGTAAATACAGAGCATAAATTATTTGACCTTTGACTTCTCTGTGTCTTCTCAGACATGCTCTCTTTGGTACAAGGATTGCACCTGGCCTTGGCACATGCTAGGCAAGGACTCTGCCATTGACCTATGTCCGGAGTCCTCTTTTTACTTTTTGTTTTTTAATGTTGAGATAGCAGGAGTTCATTAAAGTGTCCAGGCTGTCTTTAAACTGGCTCAGTGTCGGTGTCTCAGGCTGGCTTTGAATTTGTTCTCCTCTTGCCTCAAGAGTAGTTGGAGTTTCAGTCTTGCATCACCAGGCCTAGCTACTTTCTGCTCTTACATTTCAATATATGCATGTGTATATGTAGACTTATGTGTGTTTATGTGTGTGTGTGTATATATATATATATAAAAGAGAGTATTAATTTTATTATCCAATATTTAGTAACCACCTCAACAAATAACACCAAAATACCCAGCTATAGGAAAACATAAGCAGGAGACTTCACCCTGGAAAGCTTGGACCTTTAAACCATGAAAGTAGAGGCGAATCATCTGAACACACCGGGACCAACAACACTTCCAAACCATTCCCCGACTTCCTCCAAAGTAAGGATGTCAACCAACTGACCCAAACCTGTTCAGATGCACCACAGAGAACACGAGGAGAACACTTATTTCTAAGCTTCTATCTATGACTTTATTCCTGGTGCCCAGTTGAATGCATTAATCGACAATCGCTGCAAAAGAAAATGAAGCTCAGACTTCTTAACATGGATTTTGTCCATTGGTGTTAGATATTAGTAATTCAAATTAAGAGGAAGATATGAATAAAGATTGTGGTTTAAAAATAACAGTGGGAGTGGGAAAGATGGATATGCTGTTGGTGTTTGCTGCTCTTTCAGGGTACCCAAATTAATATCTATGTTGGATCATCCACATTTGCCTGTAACTCCAAATCAGGAGATCCAACAACCCCTTCTGGCCTGTGTACCCACACAGCCATACGTATGTGTATATATGCACACATAGATACAGACCTATACACATAAATAAGATAACATGATTTTAAAAAGAGGATAATTTTTCAATGTAAAGAACAAAGAGAAACAAGAATATGAGACAGGAAAACTGGCATCTATATGTGAGCCGGCAGCCTAGTCTCAGGCATGAACTCAATCTATCTGACGCCCTCTCTCCACAAGTTCCTGTCCTAATTCTCTTTGAAAATGCATTTATTTATTTGAGAGGTATGCTCAAATATTTGGGTCAGTCAGAAAAGAACCCTGGAGAGTCTTTTCTCTCGCTCCACTATCTTGTGGGTCCTGGGACTCGAACTCGGATTATCGGGCTTAGCAGCAAACGCCTTTGCCAGTTGAGCCTCATCATCTTAGGCCTGAGAATATGTAGTCGTGCTTTCCATAAACCATGAAGCTGACAACACACAGTCTCTGTGAATTCTCACATACACACAGGAGAGAAGCAATGGGTACTGTCAGTAGGCGAGTGGCTATAGCTGGAGGGTGTCAAGCATCCAAATCTGAGTAGTTTTTCCAGCACATCTAATTCGACTCTTGGACCCATTTCAGCCCGAGAAGTCTGGATGGTGCTTCTCTCTCCATTCATTTGTGTTTACTGTATATATTTTTGTTAGCCAACCTGAAAATGATCTGTATCTTATTCATTCCTGAGTGTTCTTGGTACAAAACACTTTTCAAGGTTCTGTTGGACTGATCTACTGGCATTGAAACAAAGAGTTACCTGCTGTCAAATGTAAGAATTCTGAGTCAACATCGGTAGTACCTGCTATTACGAATATATTCTGAGGCCATAGATGTAGCTTACTGGTAGAACACATGCCCAGAATATGAACATCAGTATTGAAAAAAGTGGAGTGAGTCCAGAGCAGGAGGAAAAAGGGGAGGACAGGAAAAGGGAAAAGCAGAAACTTATTCTAAGATTCGGCCCACTTGATAGCTAGTATATTAGATTCCTTTCTTTGTAGCAACTAGCCTTTGTAGATTTGCCAAAGCCCAAACTTCATTTCCTGACGAGCCTTTGCATATCAATTGACTGACTCAGAGCCTGTCTCTGAATTTAGCTATGGTATTGGCCTATGTATTTTGAACGGAAGTTCGTTCTCCCTTTATACGGTATTTCAAAAGATTTTGTTTCGTTTCAAAGTGTGATCCATAGTTTCCTACATGTGGCTCAGATTTCATCTTTGAGTTTTATACTTCTGCATTTCATGGAATAACCTGACAATATTAGGGAGAAATAACAGTTGAGCTTCTGAAGTTGAGGCAGACTCACCCATTTCCCGGTCCATGGCTTAGGACTGGATGCCACTTCAGAGGGGTCTTGTTCACTGATTTCTCTGTCTTCACACTGCAGGCAGGGACGGCAGGCCACCATGATTCAACGAGGAAATGTGTAAAAATATTAAATGGGTAAATCCATGGAAAGGGCTCTTAGAAAAAGTTTGGCACAAGGTGAGAGTTCAAGCCACCACAGCTGCTATTACTGTGGCTTTAAGGCTCCGGTCTTCCAAATTAAGGATTCTAATTAGATTCTTACAGCCTACCTTTTCATTGCTGGCAATCTCTCATTTCTAATGGCTGAGGATTTTCATCATTCATAAACATAGTTCCTCTGTCCTGGGAAATCCCTTCTGCTTCATCTCCCTCCTGCGTTTGTCCCTGATCATTCGTTGACGCGGTCACACATGAGTCAGTCAGCAAATATGTCCTGTTGAGGTCAGGCTCAGGCCTGAGAGGAAGAGCTACAGTGGGAGAAAAGTAGCTTGAATATGACCCTTGCGGTGCAGCGTCCCAAGTGATGGCGTCAGAGAGAAATGCGACAATTACAAGCACAAATGGTACGTTAAATGTGCCCTGTATGACAGTGAGCACTTGTAATGACACTTGACCATCCCAGTAAACTCAGCAATCTAAGTAAGTAAGAGTTCAAACAGGAACAGGAAGTTCCTAAGCCAAGCTGGGGAGGAAGGCACTCCAAACAAGAACCAGCTAATCTTTGACTCTCATCTCAAAATTAACTTCCCCGGAGATGTGCCACTCCTCTGGCTCTCCAGACTGAACCAGAGTCTTGTCCATTTAAACCTTCCGCAGCATCCTGTACTTTGTTCCCATAGCTCTTTCCAGTAGTGTGTAATCTCATTCACTTGTTTTTCTTCTCTTCCCCCAGATCATAAACACCATGAAAGCATGAGCCGCAGTCATGCTGGAATTCTAGTCCAGTACCAAGTTGCTACTCAAGACAAATCTCTCATTCCATTCACTGAAAGATTGTGTGCTTATGCCCTCCTTAGGGTTAGTTAGTGACTTACTGGTTTGTTTGATTTTTTTTTTTTACCATGATGTGTCAGAGATTACTTGATGATCCAGAATCGTCTAAAAACTCCATCCATCCAAAGAGCTTTCAACCATTTTCAGGCACAAGATTATCCAAATGTTCCAGTATTATAGAACACAGAAGAGCCGTAAAAATTCCATCACTGCATGGATCACAATCTAATACAGTTGCTCTCAGCCTTGCTAATGCTGTGGTTCTTTAACACAGTGCCTCACGTTAACCATAAAATGATTTCATTGCAACTTCATAACTAATTTTTGCAACTGTTATAAATCTTAATGTGCATATCTGATGTGCAGAGTATCTGATATGTGACCTTGTGAATGGGTCGTTCGACCTCCAAAGGGGTTGTGACCTGCAGGTTGAGAAGTGCTGACCTAATGGATAAAACAGGAAAAGGAGATTCATAAACACCATAAAAGTGCAGATTTTTCGGAGCTAAAAAAGTTCATTTAGACCATGGTACTCTCAATCCATAGATGAGCAGAAGGCGAGGACATGCCAGACCTTTCCCCTTACTATTCCCCTCCATGATGCCCTGCAGAGAAGGTTCTGAGGGAATTCATCACAGATCTGGGAGTGCAAGATTAGTGAAAGAATTCAGTTAACAGTCCTTTCCTGGGAACCGAACAAACCATTAGCACAACTGTATTGTCTTGAGTCTTAATGGGAGGGCTAGTTTCTACTCCTAAACTGCTCTCATGAATTGGTTACAGTGATTTCTGATGGGCAGCAGGAGGAACCGAGAGAAGTTACTTTAACTCATGGAAAGTTCTGGAAATGTTCATACTGTATGACTTTTACCTAGAATCTAAACTGATAGGTTGCCATGGGTGTGTCCTGGAAGCTCAATAGCTCTGTAGTACAAAGGAAGCTGTAAGACTGATTATTCAAGGGCAAAGAAAGGACTAAACAGGGTCCCCAGGGGAATGAATGAACTGTGTCCACATTTTCCCGTCTGACTATCTCTCAACTTGATCCACTTGCTATTCAGTAGTCAAGCTGCCAGGCACACTTACTGTTCTCCCAAAGATGGTCTCATAGCTTGAAGTTTCGGGTTTTGTAATTTGCCTGATTGGAGAACTTGGCTGAGCAAAAGCATCATCAGAGATGATTTCTCTTGTTGTGAATTCAAAAGGCTTTGGTACACAGCACAAAGGATCCATTAGAGGCCATTGTCTAGAGTTCAGGAAAACACCTTCTGCAGCATTGTGTACTAATGCGTATGGCTTTTTCCTTCTCTTTCTTCTATGGGGAAAGCACGCCTCCCAACATATAGAATGACTTGTTTTTCAGTTTGTGGGCATTTTATGTATGATTAACGATAGTTGCGGGGAAATTGTCAATCTTCAAAGACTCTCAAAGTGCTCTAACAAAATGGCAGGATCGCGTTCCAAAGAGGCTGAGAAAAACTGCCGTTCTTCAGAATTTATCAGAAAACCTAGATAGGATAAAATCACTGGGGAGGGGGAAAGAACAACTAAGTATTTGCTGTGCTTAGTGAAACATTTTCAGAGAGACAAGACAGACTCAAACATGAACTTCCCAGTTTTCTAGCTTGCAGATCTATTGCAAAAACAGAACTCAAGGTATAAGAACACCCGGGAGGACTCCCAGGCTCTGACCTGAGAAGTTATGATGAAGCTGTAGTAATCAAAGCAGATTAGCAACTGGTCTGAAGACAGACAAGCAGTTAAGTGAACAGTATGAGGAGTCCAAAAATAGATACACATAAACATATTACACAGATACCTGATTTTCAATAAAATTGAAGATAACAACTCTGCATTGTTTTTAATATATGGTATCAAATCAAATTGATTACCAGAAGAAAAAAGTAAAAGAAAGAAAAACTCTTTCATTATCCCTAACACATATATAAAAGGCAGTTCCAAGAAGATCATGACTGTGCACGTAAGGTGTTGAGCTATGAAACACAAAAGTATAAGAAGGAGTAGAAAGGAATTATGTGACCTTGGGCTAGGCAATGATAAACTCAATACCAAAAGCACAATGGAAACAATAGACTTCAACCACACCAAAACTTTCCACTTTTACAATTATTGCCAATAATATGGGAAGACAGATGGAAGAGAAGGGTTAGGAACACAATCTACAGAAAGCCTAGTAGCCAAAGCACCTAAGGACTCCCCAAAACTCAAGAGACACAACCAGCCTGTTTGTAAATGGAAAAAAACAGTTGTACCTGACTTTACCAGAGAAACGGGGTGGAAATGATAAGCAAATGGAGAGAGATTTGGAATCACTTGTCATTAAAAAATGCAGGATAATGTTAGAAATGCAGCAACCTATCATTTAATTGTTTAGGTTGTAAGACTGATTGTCCTGTGTTGGGTGAGAATATGGTGTAATTGAAACTCCAGTAGGATGTAAAATTGAAAATTAATTCTGAAAAATAATTAAGGCACTTTTAAAAAAATTAAATACATACTATATGACTCAATATTCTTATATCTAGGCATTAATGCAAGAAAAATGAAATCTTAGGTCCATACAAAGACTTGTACATAACTGTCTATGGTGGTATTTTTGTAATAAATAAAATCCTGCAAGCAATCCAATATTGCCATGGGATAATGCTCTTATATACTGTAAAGATTTGTCACTTGTATTAATTTAATAGAATGTAGATTGGCCAGTAGCAAAGCAGGATGTATAGGCAGGACAACCAGACTAAGAGAATTCTAGGAAAAGGAAAGACAGAGAGTGAGTCTTCAGTCAGACTCAGAGGAAACAAGATGAGAATGACTTATTGAGAAAGGTATCAAACCATGTGACTAAACATAGATAAGAATTATGGATTAATTTAAGTTGTAAGAGGTAGTTAGTAATAAGCCTGAGCAATAGGCCAAACAGTTTTTAGTTAATATAAGCCTCTGTGTGTTTCTTTGGGAATGAACGACCGTGGAACAGGCAAGACAGAAACTTCTGTCTACTTAATATCTTATCTGTAGCTGAATAAAATAAGCAAATTGTGAGATATCCTTATAAAGCAGAAGTTCTCAACCTTCCTAATGCTGTGACTTTTTAATACAATTCATCATATCATAGTGACCCCAACCATAAGATTATTTTCATTGTTACTTTTAAAGTAACTGTAATTTTCTACAGTTATAAATCACAATGTAAATATCTGATATATGACCCCTGTGAAAGAGTCATTGAACCCCCCAAGAACTACATCTATAATGAAATAACAAGAAATAACAAACCAGTAACAAGAAATGAACCAAAGCCGTCTGAGCAAATAGGTGTCAAGTTATGATGCCTAATGAAAGCAGACAGACAAAAGGAAAGCTCACTTTGGACTCCACCTACTTGACTTCCTAGTAAATCTAAAGTACTCTGTAGTGATAGCAGGGAGCAAAGTTGCAGTTTCCTAGGAAGAGAAAATGAGAAAAGACAAAAGGACGTCAGGGAACTTGGGAGGGTTAAAGATATCAGGTTCATTATCATGATTATGGTGATCATTTCTGGCATATATAAATATGTCAAAACATCACAATGAGCACTCTAAATATGTACATCTTATTGTGTGTCAATTATACCTTGTCGGGACTGCAAAACCAAAACACTACACGGTATATGATCAAGTTGTGCAAGGATGTTTCAAGGCTGACACTGTGAAGGAATTCTAACATGACACACAGCAAAGCAAATAGAACAGCTTCCCAGAAGTTGTGCAGTTGAAAAGAAATCTTAGTGTAGGTCAGCTCCTCAAATATGACTGTTCATGCAGCCATTATATCCAAGACTCTGTAGTAGGCATAACCATAAGGAATGTGTAGATTAATAAGACAGACATCGACATTATGCTACCCTTTAAGGTAATTTAGAGGAAGAGCTAGTAGAGCTTTTGTATAAAAATGGGAGGACAGAGAAAGTGGGCTAAGCCTACCAAGATGTTCAAGGAGGGACTTCGCCCAGAACATCCTCTATGAATGGGCTAAGCCAAGAAGAGTGAAGAGTTAGTGTCCTAAGGAAAAGGAGGTTCATGAGCAAAGATGAGATGGTGCCACACTGCCCACAGTCAGAAGGGTCAAATCCATCAGCACTAGCTGAAAATGCCAGTGTGGTGGAGAGTGGCTCTCAGCGTTCACGGCCTCAGTTTGCTATTTAGCAAATGTCCACTAAGTGGTTTATAAGGCGCTGGTTGCAGCAGATTAGGTTAGAGGTGAAGTTTTTAACCTCATAACCTTCTAGTGCAGAGAAATCCTTCTAGAGGATTCTCTTTATAGTGCTCACCTGAAGAACTTGCAGGACCTGTATAGTGAAGGACGCTTAAAAGAAATCCCACACTAGCTCAGAATTGAGAAATAGATGGTTATTTATTTAGGGGTAGACTCACAAATCAGAATCCTCTGCTGGAACAGAGCACAGACACCGAATCCCGCAGCTGGAAAAGAATCAGGAAGCATGCTCTACTTCAGCACAAATAGTCTAAGAGGTCACGCCCCAGTGGGGCGGGTAACTATGTGGCTGTAGGAATTCCTACAGCACCTGGAAGAAACAAA